TAATGCACCTACTGATGGAATCGTCTCATAAATAAACACTGTATAGACAAACGAGTAAACGCAGCTTAGCAATCAAACACTAAAAGCGATGCTAATGCTGAAACGTAATGTTGAGGATAAGAGCACCAGGTATCCCTGCGAACGACTTCACGACATGTTGATGCAGCGCCCAGATCTTCTACGGAAAATACATTTACCTTAGAATTATTGTTCTACAGCTGTGGTTCCAGGTGATACAATGTCAAGCAGCACAACAACCTCAATAGCACAGTCATTGTATTGCCTGATGACGTAAGTCCTCTTTGTTACTGCAGTGAAGTAAAACATGTAGATATTTAGCTTTCCAAATTTTTTGTACTTTCAGCATATGCTGCAACAATGGGGTAGGTTAAGCGTGCCGATTTGGCCTGCAGAAGGTCCGAAAACGACCGGCTTTGGTCCAGGAAACTGCTGGCCCCCTTGTTAAGACCAATTATGAACAACACAGACGGACAAAATGTTACTCAGCAGGTTCAGTGATTTCGGTACTTCTACATTTGTGGTTGCTTTTACTTTGCTTTTGAAAAACCCAGAACAACATCTTGTGGAACATGTTACTATTAAGCTTTTTTCTCCGCAGTAGACCAGTGAGAATGCGCTGTTTCCTGGAGAACCGTAGAGTACACCAGCTGACAACACGCCTGACTTCATGAGAGCAGTTGCTTGTAATCTAATCCATTAGCAGCGAAATATTACAGGTCTGCGTCCTTGCAGAACAAGGAGGAAAGTAATATAGTTTATGGTCCAACATTTGAAATGAATTTGCAAGGCTGAAATCATATGCCTAAGCCATCCCACTATTGGCAGTTGTATAATTCCGCCGGGGAGCTGTTCTGTCTATCTCGATCAGTTTTGACCTGCGTAACGAATTAGTTGGGAGGTGATTATCTTTTACCCCACGCTTAGATTATACCTGAGGATCCGTCAAAAAAGTGATATTTCCTCGTATAATGACAAAGGTTACGTGGAGCGAATAGTATCCGTTCCGCTGCGACAGATATCGTTCCGCTCCTTATGTTACTGATAACTTGACTTCGAGAGCAAACACCAGCTTGTATTGCGCACTTAACAATCCGATCAAAGGAGCCTGAAGCCTCATCAAAACGAGCATACCTATCTGCACCTCTTGCATAGAGCACTTTGGAGTACCAATCCAACATTGTTCACTCTATTCCTTCGTGCCTCACCTGTGCCCTAGCCTCAGACATGTCGTTTGCTCGCTCACACAAGAGCCTTGATTACACTTCAGGTTTGAACCCGGTGTTCCGGACATGCTCTCTGCGCGTCTATGTTCCCACTCTCTCAGGGACTGTGCGTTCTCCAGCACATGTCCCAGACACAAATATTTTCCAGTGAGAGCGCGCGCGTTACACTGTGCACCAGCTGAGGTCTGTTTAATAAGGTCTCAATTGCCGTCCATCTGAGTTGCACTAGGCTGATCTCATCTAAGTCAACCAATTTTCCCACCTCCCTCCAAAAGCGTGTGTATTCTGCGTCGTAGGTGTGTTTAGACTCTACGCTATGCCAGATCCTATTGGCTGCTAGCCAGTGACTACGCAATTCGATGGTAGATTTAAGCCCGGTGAGTATAAGATGATAGCTTCTGCACTAAATATGCAAGCGACTGCATTAAGGATGTGAGAAAGTGAAAATGTTATATTTATGGTGTTGGAACAGTTCTCAGTCGGCTGTTCGACTCTAGGACCATGAGAGCGGTTGCCTACGCATCACTTGCCTTAAGGAAGTCAGAAAGAAACTACTCACAGATCGAGAAAGATACATTAGATTTAACTTATGCTGTAAAAGTTGCAGCAGATGTTGCAGGGTAGGGAATTGCCATTTTTGTTTCAAAGAAGGGTATACATGTGTACACAGTGAATCGTCTCCATCCCTGGGCGACACGGTTGTTTGGATGGAATTTTACAATAGATCATGTGACTACGGCGGATTTCAGCTACATCGATGCGCTGTCTTGACTTATCGTAAATTAGCTCAGCATAGGAGAAGACCAGTTGATCGCGTCATTTGCGCTTGAATCGGACGCTAAACAGCTTCTGTGTAATTGTAGCGCCCAAAAAGATAACTCTTATCTTTCGTGTACAATTTACTTGTTGACCGATTGTACATTACTCCTTCTTGTTTTAATCTTACAACCGGCTCGACACACCACTGCCTTGTAAGTCCCCGCGCTCACGTGTACACTCTTGCCTCGCTTCATCCGTCCGCTTCTTGTTGTAGCCCATCGAATACAGTCCGCTGTGTCCGACTCCCATTGCCTTCTGATATCCGCGCTTAATTCCGCGCATCGTCTCGGACTAGTATTAACTAGTCCTACAAATTGGTGACCCCGATTCGCATGCGCGAATTCAACTTTTTTCTCGTTTGTATTTTTTGGTGAGTTCGTTCCTTTTTCTCGATTATATACCTGTATTCATTTGTTTCTTGCGTAATTTTAGTACTTTTATCGTATTTTGTTCATTCTTTATCTTTCGACTCACATTTCGAGAGTTGCATCTGAGTCGTTTCACAGCGTAACCATGCTTACTTTGGCTGTTCCAAGTTTCATGGAACACAGTCCAGAAGTTTGGTTTAAGATATTCGAGATCGAACTAGAAAATAAGGGCATAACGGCGGATCGTCCAAGGTACAATCAGCTCGTCCCACGCCTTCCTCCGTCGGTAGTGACGCTGATTGAGGACATTCTACTCTGCCCATCGAATGAGGCAAAGTATGAAACGAAGAAGCAAGCGATTTTGAAAGAGTTACGACCCAGCGCACGAACACGATTTGAGCAGCTCAATGGTCTCAAGCTTGGAGATCGCAAGCCGTTGGCATTGCTCCGCGAACTTCAGCGCATCGCTGGTCCCTTATTCTTGAGCGCAGAAGGGATAAAGGAGCTGTGGTTTGCACGTCTCCCAGAGCCATTGCCGGTAATGCTGTCCATGTTTATAGATGCACCCCTGAAAGACTTAGCTACCAAGGCAGACGCTGCGTTCGAACGTTTTCCGCAGCAGACGACCAGTAACTCCGGTGACGTATTCTCACCGATGAAAACCGAATCCCATGTTTGCTCCCAGTCGCTAGACCAATCTGACTCTAAAGACGAGGAAATTGCGCTACTTCGCAGCAGGATAGCAGCAATGAAGGCTTCGAAGCAGCGGGTGCCACGGTCAAATGTTGACCACGTTTTGGCTACCGTTCATTGTGGCTCGTCTGTGCCTGCACCGAGTACGTCACGTTCGGCACGAAAGCGCCACATTTTTCTTACAAGTTCTCAGTCAGATAATGTCAAGCCCCTCGAAGAATTATGTTGGTATCACCGCCAATACGGTGGAAGAGCTAGACGTTATCGGGCTCCCTGCATTAGGCACGACCCAGGGAAAACGAATAGCCCGCATACTAGCACTACAAACGTATCATTCAATAACCAAGCAAACCGACTGTTTTACGTTAAGGATCGACGTTCTTCCATCACCTTTCTCATCGACACGGGAGCGGAAGTCAGCGTCATCCCAGCGACCGCTAGCGACAAGCACTCGGAGCCTGGGTACAATTTGTGTGCGGCCAACGGTTCCCCTATAGCTTCATTCGGTCAGCGCATGATGAACCTAGACCTCAATCTTCGCCGAGATTTTCAGTGGGTCTTCATGGTTGCGTCTGTACCCTTCGCAATTATCGGTATCGACTTCCTCCGACATTTTGGGTTGCTTGTTGATGCTGGTCGCCACAGACTTTTAGACGACCGTACGAAACTAGGTGTTGATGGTGTTCTTTCAGATGCCCCGGTAATCAGCCCTGTATTTCGGATCACAGACGCACTGTCCGACTACTTGAGCCTCCTCTCCGAACACCCGCGACTGGTTCGACCGGCTGCAGTGCTTCCACCAGTCACGACAGAGGTCGCTTACCACATAGTTACGCGCGGTCAACCAGTTAGCGCACGACCAAGACGGCTTGCTCCAGACAAACTACGGGCAGCACGAGCCGAATTTGACCACATGCTTTAACTTGGTATCGTCAGACCGTCCAACAGCCCATGGGCGTCGCCTCTGCACATGGTCCCGAAGAAGGTCATGGGTGACTGGCGTCCTTGCGGCGACTATCGATCCTTGAATACGGTAACCACGCCTGATCGCTATCCGATCCCACACATAGTGGATCTCACCGCCAGTCTGGCGGGTAAAAATATCTTCAGCAAAATCGACTTGGTGCGCGCATACAACCAAATTCCGGTAGCCGAGGCGGACATCGCTAAAACAGCCGTGACGACTCCATTTGGTTTGTTCGAGTTTCTGCGCATGCCATTTGGCCTAAAGAACGCCGCGCAAACTTTTCAGCGTTTCATCGACCAAGTTTGTCGCGGTTTAGACTTCGCTTACGCGTATCTTGATGACATTTTAATAGCAAGCTCTTCACGAGAAGAGCACATACGCCACGTACGAACACTTTTTGATCGTTTATCTCAACACGGGGTGACGATCAACGCAGAAAAGTGTTCGTTTGATGTCGGTGCAGTTAATTTCCTGGGCCATCGTATCTCTTCTGCAGGCGTCGTGCCACTGCAGGATAAAATTCAAGCCATTATCGACTACCCCGAGCCTCATTCTTTCAAACAGCTCAGGCGTTTTGATGGCCTGGTCAACTTTTACCGTCGATTTATACCCAACTGCGCCTCTCTGATGCAACCCCTCACGGACCTTCTCCGAGGGAAACTCAAGACGTTCGAATTTCCTGCCGCAGCACGCGCTGCTTTTAAGTCGCTGAAAGAGGCTATCGCCAACATAGCTTCCATAGCGCATCATGATCCGACCGCCCCACTGTCCCTTAGTACTGACGCCTCGGACGTCGCAGTCGGCGCTGTTTTGCAGCAACGAGTATCCGACACGTGGCAGCTCTTAGCGTTTTGCTCCAAACGCCTACAACCTACCGAATCTCGTTACAACACGTTCGGTAGAGAACTACTAGCAGTGTATCTAGCGATACGTCACTTTCGACACGTCTTAGAAGGCCGCTCCTTTGTTGTCTTCACCGACCACAAACCCCTGACTTACGTGCTCGGCTCGACTACCGACCGATACTCTCCTAGAGAGTCGCGCCACCTTGACTATATCGTTCAGTTTACGACCGATATACGGCATGTCTCAGGTGTGCACAACCCCGTCGCCGATGCACTTTCCCGCATTCAAGCTATTTCCGCTGACGCCGGCACTGCTATCGACTTGGCAGCCATGGCCACAGCACAACTCAACGATCCTGAGGTTGATCTACTACGCAGGTCTCCCTCATTGGATATACGACCCGTTCCGCTGACAGCATCAGACGGAACGATACTCTGCGATTTATCTCTGGGCACGCCGCGCCCAGTCGTCCCACGTGAGTTTCGGCAGACCGTGTTCGACGCGTTGCACGGCTTGTCTCATCCAGGCGTTCGTGCATCGGTTAAACTCGTAACCGCACGATTCGTTTGGCGCAATGTTAATCGGGACGTCCGTACTTGGGCAGCTGCTTGCCTTCCGTGTCAACGCGCGAAGGTGCACAAGCACACGAGAAGCCCACTAGGCACTTTTCCGACGCCAGACGCACGCTTCCATCACGTGCACGTCGACCTCGTAGGTCCTCTGCCGCCTTCCAAAGGCTCGGTATATCTACTGACCTGCATCTATCGACTTATTAGATGGCCTGAGGCCATCCCCATCCCAAATTGCTCCTCGGAAACGGTAGCGAAAGCTTTTATGGAGCGCTGGGTAGCTCAATACGGCTGTCCCGCCATCGTGACCACTGATCGAGGGTCACATTTCTCGTCGACATTTGCCATGTTGCTTAAGGATTTAGGCTGTCGCCACGTCCAGACGACGGCGTATCATCCGGCCGCTAACGGCATAGTGCAGCGTTTTCACCGCCAGTTGAAGGCAGCGCTACGTGCGCACGCAGATCCTTCATGGTCTGAAACGCTTCCCCTCGTTCTCCTAGGCTTAAGAAATACGGTTAAGACTGACTTCGACGCCACACCAGCGCAGCTAGTCTACGGTTGCACGCTGCGGTTGCCCGGACAGCTGGTAGCACCAGTCCCATGTACTTCCACTTTTGACTACGGAAGTTACACTGATCGATTGGCTCACCAGATGTGTGAGTTACGTCCACCCGCTCCTTGATCGCAGAAGACACCAGTGTACGTGCCCGAGAAGCTGTCTACTTGTTCACACGTCCTTCTTCGCGCAGACGGTGTTCGACAGCCTCTTCAGTCGCCGTACATAGGACCCTTCAAGGTGCTGCATCGTGCGAGTAAGGCGTACACTATTGACCGCGGTGGTCGACACGAAGTCGTCACCATCGACCGTCTGAAACCCGCCTTTATGAAAGAAACTACCTCGCCTGCTTCGTCTATTAGTGCCTCGTGCGACGTCACAACTCACCGTACCAATTTTCCGCATGCTAGTGAAGTTCAACCAGACCAGGATCACGGTCTGCAAGCTTCAGCAGTCCCGAAATCACCCGAACCTAGTCCGCCGCCTCCCACGACCAATCGCCGTGGTCGGGAGGTACGTAAGCCCGTTTGCTTCTCCGACTATGTACAGTGTAAATACTTTTAACTTTGTAGATATTGTATATATTTGCCTCATTTTTGGTCGATTAACGTTTTGAAAACAAACAAAAATATCAAAAACCTCCGAAAAAACCTTTTTTCAAAAAAAATATACAAAAACCAAAAAATATTTAAACACGCAGCCCACTCGTTTGTTCCTTTTGGCGTCTTCTGCGCGTGTTTTTCTATTTTCGCGTCTTTACATGCCCCAACCCTCCCCTTCGATCGACTGGCCCACACAAGGAATGTTTTCGAGGACCCTGACGCGGACACTGGTCGCTTCTTCGCGGGACGAGGATCGCTTCTTCGCGAGACGAGGATCGCTTCTCCTTGGGACCATGGTCGTTTTCTACGTGGGACGAGGGTCGTTTTGGCGCGGGGCGGCGGGGGGAGAGACCACTCCCAAGCGCACCGTTTGGCAGCAGCGGAGGTGGAGGTCCTGTCGGCCTTTTTCTGGGCTAGCCAGTTTTTTGTAGTCCGACAAGCCCGCTCCAACGGCTCGCCGAAATGCACCCTGCCCTGCATTCAATAAATAACAAATAATAATAATAAATAATAAATAACAAAGCGGACTCCGACTTCCGACGAACCCCCATTTACACGAACGCACGCCCATTTTTACTCGGCACGATTTCGCCTTACGAAACTCGTTTTGACATTCATTTTCGATTTCGAAGGCTTTCTATGTTCAGCCTTCTAGGGGGGAGCTCTGTAGCGCCCAAAAAGATAACTCTTATCTTTCGTGTACAATTTACTTGTTGACCGATTGTACATTACTCCTTCTTGTTTTAATCTTACAACCGGCTCGACACACCACTGCCTTGTAAGTCCCCGCGCTCACGTGTACACTCTTGCCTCGCTTCATCCGTCCGCTTCTTGTTGTAGCCCATCGAATACAGTCCGCTGTGTCCGACTCCCATTGCCTTCTGATATCCGCGCTTAATTCCGCGCATCGTCTCGGACTACTATCAACTAGTGATACATAATTCAACCGGAGCTCTTCCGAGTACTTCTGTGGACATTCAGGAGCACACAAAACTCGACCCTCGTTTGCAATATGTTATTCGTTTTGCACACACAAAATGGTCAAACCGGATTACTGCTACACACTTAAAACAATTTTCTTGTCGGCATAACTAGCTAGCAGTGGTTGATGATTAAGTTGTGTTCGGTGAACCAGTGGTTGTTCCACAGTTCTTTCAGGCAAGGGTATTAAGATATTTACTTATACATCACCCCAGAATATCATGAATGAAAGCTCTAGCCAGAAGTTACGTAGCCTGGCCTTTTATTGACCGCGATTTCTATGTGCCGCCACACGTAGCAATTGTGCATCGGTAGCCAAACTTCCAAGGAAGATCATCCAACCCGGGAATCCAGCCTCTAAACGCTGGGGGATAATTCACATTGATTTCGCTGGTCCAGTGCAAGGCTAGTGTATTTCACTTGTGATTGATGTTTATATCAAATGGCCGGAAGTATACCTGATGAACACTACCATGCCAGCAGCCACGGTACATAAAATACAACAATTATTTGCGCAGTTCGGTTCATCAGACACCTTGGTTTCAGATAACGGCTCGCAATTTCTCACTGATGCTTTTGGTACTTTCTGTCAGCGTGATGGTATCAAGCAATGCTGGTCGCTTCCCGGGTATCCGCAGTCCAACGGGCAAACAGAATGAGTCGTTGTTACCTTTAAACACCCACCACTTAAACTGCGAGGGGAAGGGCCGACACAGGAGATCATACAGCTGTTCCTGTTAACTTTACGGGCCACGTCTAACCCCGGTGTACCATGAGGTAAATCCTCAGCCGAAGGTATGTTCAGGCGTGAGATACGTACTACAATTGAGGCAATACGCCCTAAGGTTATGCAAAGGCCAATCGTGTCAAGCATGAGCAAATCTTTTTTTAACAGGGGATCCGGTGTACGCTTTGGATACATGGCCGAAGCACCAAACCAAAGCAATCAATGTTACACGAATTATCGTGACATCAACTTTCTGTTGTGTTCGTAAGATGATTGCCCGGATCCTGCTCAACCGCCTCGTTAGTCAGGTAATGGAATCGAACGTGGCGGAAGAGCAATGTGGATTCCGTTCGGTTCACAGCACCATCGATATAATATTTGCAGCTCGTCAGTCGTAGAAGAAATGTAGAGAACGACATCAGTCGTTGTAGTCACTTTTGTTGATTCCACCAAGAAATTTGATACGCTGAACCGCGAGGTATGGTGGCTGGTGTTGGGTAGGCGTGGTTGTTCCAGTAGGTTTGTAAGGTTTATTGAATATCTGCAAGGTGGTATACGGGCAAGGCTGCAACTGAGTGGAGAGATCACGGATGACTTTGTAGTTGCCACTGACGTGAAGCAAGGCTATGTCTTAGCTCCTGCCCTGTTTAATATTTATATACAAGCAATGATGTCATATGTGTTTGATGCGGCTTGTGATTACGGTGTTCGTGTGGACCATCGTATTTATGGTGGGTTGCTGAACATCTATCGTTTCGGTGCAAGAACCCTAGTCTGTAAGACCACTATTCGTATGTTGCTGTTTGCTGACGACTGTGCGCTATTTGCACAGAGCGCGGAGGATTTGCAGCACATGACTAGTGCCCTGGCTTCGACAGCGGTCAAATTCAGGCTCACCATCAACACAAGTAAAACTGTCTGTCTTTTTCAGCCTTCACCGGAAGTGCAATCTCCAATACTGCCGCAAATCAACAATGGTGCTGTAATCTTGGAAATCACCTCCCGTTTCTGTTATCTTGGGATTGGGATATCGACGGACCAGCAGCTACGTGAGGTTCGTATCCCCGTATCGAAAGCAGCGGGGGCATTCGGGAGGCTAGAATACCGTGTGTGGAACAACCATCAGCTTACCGTTGACACGAAACTAATGGTGTACAAATCTATGGTGCTCTCCGTTCTTCCATACTGCGACCAAACGTGTACGAGGTGCCGGCGGGATGTGGCATATTTCGAGCGATTCCGTCAACCATCTTTGCGACAGATTCTGCGCATTGTTTGGTTTGACAGAGTTGCAGACACGGAGGCATTGCGCGGAAGTGGAATGTATGCACTGGATTGCTTGCTTTTGCTAAGACACCTGAGGTGGCTCGGTCATGTGTGCCGTATGAATTCGACGCGAATCCCGAGGCAGCTGTTATATGGTCAACTGAGTGCTGGGAAGCGGCATGTGGGGGAAACCGAAGTTTCGTTATCACGATATGATCAAAGTGAGCCTATCTCGTTGTAACGTTGATTTCAGTTGTTGGGAATCGAAGGCGGTTGATCCGGGTGCATGGCGCGATCTGATCATGAAGGCAGTTACCGAGGTGCAAGAAAAAGCCCTCGTGCAGGCGGAGAAGAAGAATCAGTTTTGGAAGCGACATGGGCTGATGGAATGTACTCCATCGACCTTGAGCGCATGGTTCTGTAACGCATGCGGTTGCGAGTGCCTTAGTCAGGTGGGCCTAGTGAACCATGAGCGAGACAACTCGAGTCCAACACCGAAACGAGGACGGTTCCTGCTATGAACGTAGGCAGAACCGACTCAGCGATGGTAGGTGTGCTGCATTCGGTTTACTCGCCGCGTACTTGCATGCTGGGTTTCTTTATTTTAGCTGGTGGCTATGCTATTTTTCCCTAATGCTTTTTATATCATATTAATGTCTGCCTAAACTATGTTCTATTAACTTGCACATGTATTTTAAGCTAAGTGTAGTTAAATTCAATAACATTTCCGCGTTTGTGGCATTTCCGTAAAATATACTTTCTGACCATTTGAATTTATTGCGTAGTTGGTGGTAACCAATTTAGTTCATATGCACATTTGGTGAAGAGCTATGTCGGCATATCTGTATGCATTATTCGATTTATTTTATTTGATACCGTCGTCTCAAGGGACTGGCTGTTGTTTGATATCCCCGGTGTGGTTGCGTTTGAGGTGTATATTGACAAGGTGCTTACCTGTCTAATACCCACTACATCGTTCATACTGGCTCCAGGAGACAGCTGGTCGTTGCTGGAGCGGGCGGGGTGCACTGTCCTTGTGGTCGTTTTAGGCTCGAATAGTGGTTCCATGCACCCTATTTGAAGCGGACAACGGTCCAGCCATCGCCTTGTGTGCGCATGATTCTCGAATACATTTTGCTTGTGTTTGCCTGTGAAGGAATGTGGGCCGGCTTCGTTGATGAAACGTGGCTCCCATCCACATGCCTCCTGGTTTTATTCCTTCGGGTTTTCACTGGATGTGGGGTGTGTGGATGGAGCTGTGGGTGGTGCGGCGCACGCCATGCATGGTCTTTTTGTCGTCGCATGAGTCCTGTGGCTGGCCACAGTGACAGGCAAATCCGAAACCGGATGCCACCAACCCTTTATGCAACACATGACCAATATTACAATTGACACAGTGCCACAACGAGTCGGGGCTACAATAAACAAGAAGTAGGCATGTAAGGCACATGCCTAACCCACTGAATTATGCGCAGTGAAATTATGCTGTTCGGTGGACCGTAAAGTCTGTCGGCGCTGAAAATCACTCATCGAACATCCTCATTACTACTTTGGTATTGCCATCGTACACCAGCAATGCTCCGAAGGCAGCGGTGATCAAAAATAAAACACCCTACAAACATGACCGCTTTCATCGCGGCATTTTAAAATCGGCCGTTAGACTTAAAAACGCGTCGACGCCAGAGGTGGCGGAGATTAGGCATAGCAACCCGAGCCTTGTAGGCGTGCAAAGAGACCTCAACCGTTTAACTGTCAGCGCTGAGATAGCTTTCCAGCTAAAGGAACGTGTGTACCACTTCCAAAGTGACTTGAATGGGTAAGGATAGAAGCAGCACCTAGCCAGCCCTGCAGGAAGACCTTGCACGTCGATGGGGAGGTCATTCTAAACTGGGAGACAGACCGTCAACCTTCACAGCACTTTTGCACGGTCCATGATGGATCGCAACACGGCGATGTCGTCTGTACACTCCAGATCCCGAAGTTGGTCAACCGGAAGCAGCTCGATGCTGCTGGGTTCTAGGTTCATTATAGTACTCTCCAGGAATTCGTCAATAACGAAATTAATCAAGTAGGGTGATGCAGAGCGACTCCGTTTCATGCCACTAGTGATAGTAAACGGGGCCAAAGTCAGCTGTACATACTCGCCTGAAGAATGGCGACATACTTCTCGAACACTCCCCTTCTCAGTAGACGATTCCAAAGAATAGCTATGTCAACTTTGTCAAACGCGTCTCGTTAGTTTAGGAAGATCATGATCACGCCCGTAAACGCGTATCTCGAGTTGTCGAGCATAACATATTTATTTATGTATTGTGTTTGGATCCCACATAGGTCTCTCTTCGGCCTTGTTCTCCCGCGATAGGGCTGTTCAATTGCGCATTTTAGGCCAGCGACAGCAGAACACAGCCAGAAAGTATTCATGTAGGAAGATGAGGAGCAGATCGAAGGTATCACATGGCAAATGAATTTGGCTGCAGAAAGGTAATCGAGCCGCCCTAACACCTGACAAATAGAGGAAGGTGTTAAACTAAAGATGTGGTGGTGATCACAATACCGAGGATGTGGCTACCAGCGGGAAACGGGTACCAGTGTGCGGTTAGCAGAAAATAATGTTTGAATCAACAACATAATGTTTAAGAGAGCAGTGCAAGTGCGTTCGGACAAATGAAAAGGCGGCTACTCACAGTTACACCTAGTCAGACACCAGTAAACAACGGTAAAGCGGAGGACGGTTACCCTAATTCCCAGGATTTATCATTGGGGAGATTATCATCTGGCCGATGTGGAGTACTGATTACACTGGGCGATAGATACGAGGCACACAAAGCGGAAAATCAACAGCAAGATTGCGAACGAGGTAACGATCTGTAAAGTGACCAGCTCAGGGCATGACGGTACAGTCCATGCGTGATTTCCCTATTCAAACCTCCGCTGTCCGGAGCCTGTGACGAAAACAGACATCTGCTTTGTGTTGCTGCGACGGAGCAACAGTGCACTCCAAACTTTGCCCTGCATACAAAAGTGAAAGGAGCCTGCATTGACGGGCTGACAAAAATGTAAGCCCGTATGTCTCTTTTTCCTCGACTATACCAATACCTTTAGGACCCTTGACAGATCGGTACCATTAAACCTTTTGCTCGAGAATGACCTCCCATAACCTGTATGGAATGTAACGCGCGACCATTTTACAAGCTGTACATACTTCATGCATCTAGTCGGTAGGTCTTCCGAAATCCGGCCGGTACTGGTGCTTTGCAAAAGAGTTATCGTACCCACTATCTGTTTTCACTCTATATTGAAAGTCTGCGCACACATAGCTTCACCGGATGTAAATCAGCAGTACGCCGGTACGCGGTACCAACACTTCGCTGCCGCGCAACTACCATCGGTCGCACGCGGGCTAACGATACTGTGAGGGTCGCGCTGCCTCTACGCAGGCTGGAACCCGCGCCGCCAGATTACAAGACAAACTTGTTACCTTTAGGCTACGGACCGGCATCAGACGTAAATATGCTGTTAATATCGTCCTGGGGTATTTAGTCCCAGTAAATGGAGTGGAATGGTCAGCTTCTCCATGTGTGTAAGATGAACTCTTTACTTGGTTAAGCTTCGGTTCCTGTTTTTAACGCTTTCAAATGTTGCGAAGTCACGTTCTCTTTCCTCCATTCAGATAGACTGCATTCCTTTGTGAATACCTTTTTTCATTTGGTCATGAGTGAGTAAATCATCATCGTTCATTCACCGTACAGTATCTCGCTTTCTCGTCTTACAATGTACCCTAGATGATACATATTTTTGAAGCGTTCCAGTGCCAGGTAGTATATATACACACACTGAAGCTCAAATTGCTCACCGTACCCGAGTTCTAAATCGATAGTTCGTGAATGCATGTGTATTTGCCCACCGCTGGTTCCCTGTGATTACACCCGAACATCTTCAAAAGGACAACACTCTTCTTGTGCACTCATTAAAATGTACTTTCCGATGCTCTGGATTGGGAAAATAATCTCTCGTGTCATTATGCGCTTTGAGGCATGCTTCAATTTTTCATACAGTCTCCTCATTTATACACTGTTAGAGCCCATACGCAGCTATTTCTTCCACGTGGTCAAAGTATAGTGTTGTAGTTTTTGTATTTCTTCGCAAAGCAGCTGCACCTTGTCCTAACTATTTCGCTTGTTAGTCAAGACAAAAGCAAAGATGCACAAGTTGCAAGACCGTTTGCTAGAATGAAAATGTGTACTCATTTGGATTCCCTTCTAACTGCTTTTTCCTACCAATGCTATGTTGTAGCAGTTCCGCATTGCTAGTATAAATTGGTTGAAATGCTTTCCCATGGGTGTGTTTGGCTTCTTAACCTGGCTTGAGAGACGCGCATAATGATCACCCCCCAAAAAAACGAGGCACAGTGAAACAATCGAATCAGTCGTGGGAAATGCCGGAGAAATCGTGCGACATCGATGTACTACCTAAACATACCAGAAAGCAACGTAGCGTTAATTAGAGAGAGAACTACTCAGCTTCCAAACAACACTGACCACTGCCATATATCAGCGGTTGCATCGAGGATGGACCTTAAATTTTTGTGACGGTTTGTGTGCTTCAATGATCCAATGAGCTGCGCTGGATAGTGTTTCTTGCGCTTTCAGAGTCATACAAAATTAGTCAATGATTAAAGGCCAGAATAATTCAGTCTTCTGGTCTTGTAGGTTGGGGGTTAGAGTGAGAGTGGCCCCTTATTCCTTAAGACGGACTTTCTGTAGTTAACTGCTTTGCGGTTTTGAACCGAAGGTTTTGCTTGAGAACCCTAATCGCTCTTCCGCCTACGTCGGTGCAACCTGGCAGTATTATGCCACAGCAACACAATGATAAACTCTTCACACATTTTCTTGATGCACTGGCCGTCGAAGAGGATAATCAACTGCGCCCTATCAGTTGCATCCAGCAGGATGGGGATGCGGCCGCCTAAAACTTCCAATCTTCTTATTCCCCCTTTAACGCTTGTTCATCCTTATCTCGATTGTTTTCGAACCGCAAAATCTTGGCCCTCACCCAAGTTGTTTTGATAAACGTGTCCTTTAGTTCCAATCCATACACAATCGAAGTTTTGACACAGGTAACGGGCAGAAGGAGACCCGGTGTTAACGAAGCCATATGCGACTAGACAATCCACAACCTGTCAAAACGCTTGGAGCTGAGCACTTTGAATGGCAATTTAATCGGCCCGAATTGTCTGATGCATCACCGGCTAGTGATTGTCCTGTTCCCTGCGCCGTCCCAGTGGATGCGCTTACTCGCGTACTGGTCGAATGATATCGGACTTGCGAAACTGAAAATGGTCGGAGAACGAGATGAGCATCCTCCGGAACTCTTCAAATTCGAGATATCTGCATCTGTGGGAAAGTTACACGATCTCTCAGTGAAACTGTAAGAGCAGCAAAATGTCCCAGCCAACTACAGTTGCCCCATTACGGTCCAGACTTGCAAGGGAGACTCAGGTTCGGAATGCAGCAATCACGGAGGTATCAGCTTTGATGGAAGAGGGTAATGTCAACCAACTACTAGGTCAATATGAGTTAAGGCCCTGACTTCGCAGTTGACTTCGTTTGTACGCTCTAGACTTCCGGGTTGGGATCCGAAAGACGATAAACGAGTTTGGTTGGACACACATGTTGACATAGCCAGGAGCCAATTTCAATGACGCTTGTGCTGTTAGTTTCTTCCTCCCACCCTATCCCATTTAGTTTCGCTCTCTAACCACGATTCCATTTCCAATGCAAGAGATGAAGCAGAATAGAGCGTTGTCTTGATTTTGCCTTATTTCTATTTTGGTGTGACCCGGTTGAAGTGTACTGCAGTGCAATAGTTGGGATTTTACTCACTCCTAGTTACTGCGTAGAATGATGATAATGATGATGCCATCACATACCACAGCTCATTCGACAGAGGACGTGGAAGTAAATGCTCACGTATGGGGTGGTTGACATGTGTGCACCTAGATCCGCCAGGCACATTGCTAACGTGAGCGGGGATTAGCAAGTCGCACGAGCTACAGGCATAAAAAGCAGTCAAAGCGCTGGGAATCGATTTATGTACGTTTGTATACAGTGTCAGGTGATTTGTGTATGCTGAGGGGAACACGAAAGGCACAACAAGAGGAAACATGTACGTGCTGGACGAGTGAGGATCATTCCCAATACATAACGAGGCTCACAGCTGCGCTCCTCGCTGATACATAACGAATGCTCCAATGGGAAAAGCAAGATAGAGAATGGCGGAGAATCCGCAGAAACGAGCTGAATCACAAGCTACACATGACAATGTTACAGGGGGACTTAACAAACATGGACTCGATCCTACTCTTCGTGGGCAAGGATATTCGGGTAAGAGAAGCGAAGCATGAATGCTCGTGCTCAGAGACGGTGCTAGCTTCAGAGGTTGTCGACGCGGAGTTGGAACAAAAAAGAAAATCTGTCATGGAAGTTAAGGTGGCCGAATTTGAATATGCCAGACCCTATTCATCCACTTCTCTCACGCTCTCCTCATTCAGGGACTGCTGAGTGAGAACTACTTGGGCCAATTGATCCAAGCAAGCTGGAGGAGTGACAACACCGTACTTCCGACGAACCAGCCCACGTCGAGGAGGGTCGTGAACCACGTTTGTGGGTTGGACGGGTTCCAACTCACTCGTAACACCTGCACATGATGTGAACCAAGGCACTGCAACCTGAAAAATAAAAGACAAAACAGTGCAACCGAAAAATGGCTGGAATACTGCAAGTACCCCACTGGTAAGGGACTTAAATGAATAATTTTATATAGTTCCCGAAAAGTAGTATATGATCCCTAAATCACAGCGATCAACAATACAAAAATAGTCTTTCAGTTCCTGTGCCTGCCCTGTGTAATGGAGTTAACATATTACTGGCCTCACAAATAAAAGCCCCGATCGCTTGCAATTCATTCACTTAATGCGATTGGTTGTGTCACTGATTCCCAAGTTCCTGCTTAGTGAGACGTGAAAGCATTCATTGGTGGGATGGGGTAGAACGGTTGGCACAAACACAAGTTCCGTTGTATGAGTAATCCTAAAGAAAAAATAAGTTAAGTGTAGGCATCTAGGTGCGGTGTATATGTTGCTCAGACCAAATTCTGTTAACGCTTTCGGAGATTGCTGTGAGCCAAATATCTTTAACACACTCGATGCAACAAGAAAGATCTCTAGTTGTTTGTAATGTGGCAACGTTAACACTCGCATATGACTATAGTGATAGCTTACTCCAGAGACTTCCATAGCTCAGTAAGAGGGTCGATTAGATCACATAAGTAGCAGTTTGTGAAGGTAGTAGGCGGTCCCCATTAGAAATGGGAAAGATAAAGGTTTGCTGTAATTTAAGAGTGGAGCTGTCTGCGAAGACTTGCTTGGTTGTAAAGTCCAACAGAAGGAGACGATTGCCCGTTAATCGCCACAGCCAAAGTGCATCCAATGGTCATGGATACTCAGGACAAATGAATACTCCGTGATCAACCAAGTAACTAATCGTCAGACACCTCCAATCGTTGGACATTTGCTAGAGCCACTCTAGCTTTCCTCCTTAGTTGACTGATAGCACCACACTCCAGAGTACAGCTTACTGTGATTTTTAATAGTTCAAGTCATGCTTTAGATAAACAGTAATATGTAACGATGTAATGGGCAAATAAATGCAGAATTGGAGGCCAAAAAGGTGAACGCAGCCCCAGCTCCCATGACAATTCTGGCTCAAGTGCGCAGAAAGGAAAGTAGCATATGGTATCAATTAGAGGAAAAAACGAGCACTAGCACGTGTATCACAAAGCTGTGAAAGAGCGGGCAAAAAATAGAGAAAAACGTGTATTAAGCGCGAATAACAAGAGAAATCGGTGGACAGACTTGAAACCGGTGACATACGGGGCATTCATTCGTATATACGCCTAAGACTGCGTTAACCCAAGCGACGAGGTGAAAACAGAAGGGGACGTGAAAAATTGTGGTGAGGATTAATGCGATCGGAGTACACCGAATGCCAATTACAATGTAAGCCATGATACACGGTGGGCAGCTAAGTGAGTCGCATGACATGGTACAGTTTGGAAGTAGTCAGGTACGAAGTACATAACCAGACAACCAGTGTGCATACGTGCCAATCGCCGTGTTGGGAGAGTATTGAAACGCACAAAGATGACGCTGATACAATTGAAAAATAAGTCTGCAATGTACGGCGGACTTGTTCAGAAGCTAAGTAACGGTAGCTGATCGAAACGCTGTTAACCCGAAGGGAAGCGATAAGCCGAAATGCGAGATGAGCGAACCTGCTGTTCCCTCGTGCGAGTGTGGCGGAAGCTCGCAGTTGCCACTACCAGCACCAATGCAATGATAGCCGCCACGTCAGAATCACTGTGGGTGGGGGTCACGGGACTGAACTACGCCGGAGGATCAGTAACTGATACAATGGATTCAGGTGTCTCGCAGCTACATTAACGAGGAACTAATAATGAGATCCCAATGGTTCGATTGGGATTAAGAAGCGAATAATTCACGTCTCAGTGTTGCCTGAAGTTTGGATGACCAGTGCAGTTGCTGCGGTCAAAGAATAGCTGCAAGGGCGGAAGGACGAAGGCAACAGTGCCGAAACCATGGGCATGGACATGTTGCTGATGGCTATCCAGCATCAGCGTGCGAACACTCAAACAAAGCTAGTTTAAGGAGGATTGACAGAACTGGTGGAACCCATGTGAACTGCTAAGTGTTTTGACAATTTCTGGTTTATCTATCTACCTTTAGTACTACTGTTACGATGGAAAGGAGAGAAGTGGTAAACAGAGTTCCCTGCAAAGTTAGGCTTAGGAGTGCAAGCCGTGTGGTTGGATTGTGACACACACAATTTCTATTGGGACTCTGGTTTATTTTGGAAGTAGACCTCAGTCATTCCGATCACCGGCACCGTATCCGAGCTACACTCTCAGCTCTTGCCATTTTTATCTGAGGAATCCAAACGAGGATGAAACTGGTCGTGAGTGCAGTGTTGAGAGGGCTTACTGCGCTACGCACCTGGGCCACATCCCAGTAGATTAGCCTAAAGAAGCAAAGATGAAGAATACAGCAAATTGCCAAGTGCGATGGGGTTGAGGTATGAAAACTGTGAATGAGGCGATGAAGACGCAAAAGAAGAGATCACGAACGGAACTAATAGAAGAATACTGGATGTGGGGGCATGCTAGAAATCGCTGGACACAAGCAACATGCAACGGCAGTGAGAGAACGAATATGGTGCAGTTAGAACAGTTGGATTCTCATTCCCAGTCATGCCGCTCGAGATGGAGCCACCAGATAGTCTGCGACATATGCAGTTACAGAAATCCAGTTACCAAGATGGTCTTATATAGTGTAGTGACAGAGTGTCTACAAGTCAATCGGATTCACGTCGGACAAAGGAAATTTTCTCGATACATGACTGAATAATAGGCTTAACTGCAACTTAACAAGCTGCTCTCATGAGGCAAAAGCCAACTGCTCAGTGAACTAACCTCTGATATACTATTTTCATCTAAAACTGAATATCTTTAAAAAATTCGATTCGGACATCTTTCAAACCAAGCTGAACAAAGTTTGTTTTTGCCTAGAACATCGGTAAGTTATTGATAGAAAGAAAAAGAACAGTTAAAGACCGACAGTTAATGAGAATCTGTCCCTCTACAGTTGTCGTCAAGCTCAGCATCACAGTGAGAACGTGGTCCGTGCAGTTATGCTGCGTTACAATTCCGATGCTCTCTTGGATGACCGCACTTACCGTTTAGTCAAGAGCTAGGTTGCTGAGCAGGTGTGCTTCGCAAACGCTTTGATGTGAGAAAACTCTTCTTCTCTAGCTATTGCATGCTGGAGTAAGGCGATAGAAGCTTCAGCTGATAGGACGCGTAAGAAGGGCCAGTATAACCTCCGCCGCGTCAATAGTGCCGTTACGATCACAGGCCTACACGGTACACACACCATAAGGCAAGGAGAAGTGTACCTTTATCGACAACAGTGGGTTCACGTTTCAGCTTTAACAGATGCATGATCGCTAACAAAGAACATGTGAGAAAGTCAACTTCCCACAACCAAGCGGTCCATTCCGGTTCATCGCCTTCCATTTGGAGTCCTCGATCCTCCTTCAGATTGACATGCCTCAATGTACGCACATTACTGCAGATCGGTCAACAGGCAGCACTTGCCCGAACATTAAAGACCCTCTCAATCGATATCTGCTGCTTATCAGAGACCCGCCTGCAAGACTCGAGTTCTGTGCTCACTCTGCGATCCCCTTCACGTGACGCAAGCAGTATTTTCTCATTGCGCCTATGCGGTGACGATGCAGCTTCGAGCACCGGCCAAGCTGGTGTTGGGATTGCCCTGAGTCCCCGGGCTGAAGCTGTTCTGGTTGACTGGATTCCAATCAGTGGCCGGTTGTTCGCGGTCCGATTGGCTGGCTCGTTCAAACCTTCGAAGTCGTGCGGGACGAATAGGTGTCCAATTCATCATCGCCGCCTACGTGCCCACAAACTGTAGCGATGATTCGGTAAAGAACGACTTCTACCGCCAACTGACCCAGCTCCTTCGCCACAGAAGAAGCACGGACACTGTTGTGCTGGCTGGGGATCTGAACGCATAAGTTGGAAAGTTGTCCACTGATGAAATGCATCTGGGCGGTCAGCACGGTGTAGGCTCCCGTAATGATAACGGTGAGCGGTTACTTCATTTGTGTGAAGATGCTCGCTTATTTCATGCGAGCACTAACATCCGACACAACACCAGCCGGAGGGTGACTTGTCGCTCACCAGTCTCGAAGCAGCCTTGGACGCAGATCGATCACATTGCTATCAGTTACCGCTGGAGAGGCTGCATCCAGAACTGTCGCTCGATTTGGAGCACATGTGTGGAAACCGATCATGTACTTGTATGCGCGGACGTGCGGATGCGTTTTGGAGGACGCCCACGACGACGCTGTGAGCGCATCGACACCATGCAACTGACAAAGCCAGCTGTTCTGAATACGTATCGAAGTACGCTGGCATGCCATTTAAGTAAACCTTCACTGGAGACAATTGAAGGTCACTGGTCGCATGTTCGCCAGACCTTGTTAGCAGCAGACAAATTCTCATGTGATATGTTTAACAGCCAACATGGATGTTGGGTCTCTTCGCGGTCTCTGGAACTTACCGAAACTCGCCGGCATATCTCGACTGGAAGCGAACACAATGGAACTCGCAAAGAGCTCCGGGCAAGACTCCGTGCAAGCCTGAAGAGAGACCGCGAATCTTGGTGGTCTCATCGTGCGTCAGAGATGGAAGTGGCCGCTGCGCTTGGCAACCATCGTAAGTTATTCTGTCTGGTACGGGAAACGGGAGACCTGGTGTTAGTGAAACTATAAGTGACGAGAGTGGATAGCCTATCCACAATTTGTCAAAACGTTTGGAGCGTTGGGCTGAGCATTTTGAAAAGCAATTTAATCGGCAAGAATTGTTCGATTCTTCGCCGGCCAGTGATCGCCCTGCTCCGTGGGCTGCCCCTTTGGACCCACCATCTCGCTCAGAAGTTGAACGTTGATCGGACTGCTGAGGTTGAATAAAGCCGCGGGAACATATGATCTTCCACCAGCGCTCTTCAAATTCGGAAGCTCTGCTATTGTTGATGCTTTGCATGAATTACTAGTGAAACTTTGGGAGCAGGAGACTGTCCCAACCGACTGGAGCCGCTCCGTTATTCTTCCCATCTTCAAAGGAGGCTCGCGCTCTTAATGCGGCAACCATAGAGGAATCAGTCTGATCTCCATCGCCTCCAAATTACTCGCCTCCATAATTCTTCACAGACTGACTGGGGCTCGTGAAAGCCAGATTTTTGAGGAGCAAACCGGGTTTCGTCGTGGTCGTGGCTGCATTGACCACATCTTCACTTTGCGCCACTTGTTGGAGCACCGCCACACATATTGGCGGCCCACCGTAGTCGTGTTCCTTGACATCAAAGGTGCCTTCGATTCGGTTGATCGATGTGCCCTTTGGAATTTTCTATTCAGGAAAGGTGTGCCCCAGAAATATGTAAATATTATCCAAGCATTATACGCGCGTAGCGCGGGCAGTGTGAGGGCTTACGACAAGCTGTCGCCACCCTTCAATATCTCCAGCGGTGTGGGACAAGGATGCCCACTGTCACCTTTCCTCTTCAACTTCGCTATTGACAAAGTCATGGAGATTGCATTTACAGGACATGACTTGGAAGGTGTGGAGCTACTCCAAGGAGAAAGACTTCTTCACTGAGAGTATGCAGACAATATTGCTCTCATCTGTGACAGCTTCCAGAAGTGCCAAGTCGCGCTAACAGACTAGCACTGGCTGTGACCTGCTTGGGGCTTTGCTTCGCACCATCGAAATGCAAAGCGTTCCTCCAAGATTGGCAGGGATTGCCTCCTGCGCTGACCCTTGGTGGGGATCAGCTAAAAGTCGTTCGGAAATTCAACTACCTGGGAAGTTGTATCAGCGCCCTTGGGATCGAAGACGAGATCACGAACCGCATAGCAAAAGCTCGAAGTGCTTTTGCTAACCTTCACCACCTATGGCGGCGGCGCGACATCACTCTCGCCCTGAAGGGTAGAGTGCACAATGCAGCGGTACGTTCGACCCTACTGTACGGTTGTGAAACCTGGCCCCTAAGATCGGCGGACATGAAGAGGCTATTTAAGTTCGACCACCGATGCCTTCGCAGCTTGGCTCACATCTGGTGGGAACACCGCGTGAGTAACGAGCGTGTTCGACACCTTGTTTACGGCACAGGAAAAGGAACTGAACCGATCAGCACCGTCATTTCAAGCACCAGGCTCCGATGGCTCGGCCACGTGTTACGCATGCCAGCCCACTGACAACCGCGATGTGCGTTGTTTGCTCACCGGGGATGTGGATGGAAGAAGAGGAGGGGTGGTCAAGCGATGACTTGGTCCATGGGAATGAAGGCCCTTACTTCGGAGCTAGCCTCGGTTGAAGCGTCACGGCTCCCTGGTTTGGGTCCAAAAGACGCTGAACACGTTTGGCTGGATACACTTGCTGACATGGCAAGGAGCCGACCTCAGTGGCGTTCGTGCTGTGAGATTTTTGTCCCTCCCCATCCCATTTAGCCTCCCCCTCCACCTACGATCTCATTTCGTAGTGTAAAACAATAATTTTTCTTTTTGCTTAGTAGCCGGCTGGTAGTTTACCGGAACGATGCCTATCCGTTGCTGTTAGCTCAGCTGGCATACAAATGTTGTATTTATTTTCCTTTTCCTTTATGTATTGCGGCACAGTAGCTGAGGTGTTTCCCACCTCTAGCTGACGTGTATAATGATGATGATGAACGATGAAGACAATTCGTTAAAAGCAATGGTGCAAAGTTCCCTAAGCTCGTGGAGTGCTTACATTGCAGAATGGTGATGAACGACGACGCGCACTGATCATGGGACAACGTCACATTTCATGTACCGAATGATGGAAACTGAATACTGGTGTCATGTTAGCAATCGTAGTTCCTGTTGTTATAGTTCTGGATGTTAAACTATGTGGGAAACGTGTTCTCGAAGACCAAAGCACAGTTAAAACGCCTGCCGACCAACCCGATGCATGACCAGAAGCTAAAAGCGGTCATTCAAGAGATTGTGCGACTTTTAACGCAGGAGAACTACAAGGACTATGCTCTCAATATGATGGTGACGACGGCAACAGTGAACAAAAACTCATCAAATGACTGCCTTTAAGGTAGTTAATTTCTCTTCTGCAAGAATACACAGGCCAGCTTAGTTTGAAAAATGTACGGTTCAAGCTGGAAAAATCCCAACTTAAAGTGAAATTTTGATATGCACTAAGTAGTGACGAAACTAGTGCGAGTGATTTCTAAGGTGAATGCAGGATAGACCAACGAGTTAAACGAAAATACAAACGATTAAGTCCGTATAGGGAAATGAGGACGAGCTTGGATGCTGTAGACAATACTTGAGATCAAGCACCGTGGATGAAGTTTGATTCGGTGAACAGGCTCGGGGATTGTCATCATGCCTAGCCGCCGTCAAGTCCCCCCAACTTAAGTGCGTGCGATGTTTGTGTCTTCGCAACACAAGAGGGGGGGCATTTTAGAACCCACCACAGGATGAAGGAGCGCAGATCTCCATTTTGGTGGCCAACGCCGAAGGCACGCACAGCAATCGGTGTTGGGAGGTTTGAGTGCCTCTATTCTAACGCTTAAGTAGACGGGCTGCGAGCGATGATCGGGCAGGAAGAGGAAACAGACCAACTACCACCAGCTGTTCAAGTTTGCCAAGGAGGAAACAAGGAACAGCATCACAAAAGGATTATATCGGAGAACACGTAATGGAACACAAGTTGGCACATGGATGTGTTGAACGAAAAAGAAAAGGAATACGACGAAGTGTAAGTGCGTGTGTGGGCGATGACAAAATGCCATATTTCACTAGTCGTAGTTGGACAATAGGTCCACCGGTGCCTGGCTGCAGTGCCCGTTAAAGTCGAAACACTTTCGGCGACCCGGTCACATGTGCGCTGTGTACCGATCAACCCGGGCGTGTGTTGTTTGTCAATACTGCGCCTGATGAAACCCTGAGATGGCAGATGGGGGAGCGCACTGAAAAGTTGAGCTGGGCTACTGTCAGTAATCTCCTTGAATGGGGACCTCGGGATCGGCCATACCGGTGGCCACATACTTCCTCGGATACGGGGCAGTAGTGAAGCTTGGGGCGCTCTCGCATTCGCTCCGTTATTTCGAACACCTAGCTACTTCAGCTGGAGATAGTACTTCCCATTCATTCTTTTTAAAGCATTAATGTGGTTGCGAAACGTGTCAGGGAAAGTGGATCCGCTGAATATTGGTCGAGAAACTGAACGGGAGTAATGGAGAAAGTGTGCGTGGAAACAAACAGCCCAGGAAAATGACGTAGCACTGCCAACCTACTACTACTCATGCCCAGTCTTAAAAAAAGCAAATCGCAAGGCTGAAAGTTCCGTGAGCCAAAAATTGGCTGAGACCAGACTGGCAATCCAAGCTGCGGATTGTTGGTAGGTGATTGCATTGAGTGGACAAACTTCTCAGCTGGGCCTCATACAGGTGCCGGGTTGAGCAGATGGCATATGTTAGTCAATAAAGAGATGATAGAGCAAGATTCTGAGAGCGTAAAGGGAAACATGATTAACTGATGCCAAAAACAACTGAAGGCAGTGGCTATTCGTTTTTATAAAATGAACGGGAATGAGGTGGCGATTGTACCTTGTGCATTCACATGCAGTGTGCACACGCTGCACAAGGTAAACGGGGGAAGAGAGTGTCAGACCAGTTAGTGGGCGGTGAAACGGCAATATCGCACCACCATTACGAGTGCCATAACACCCACCTGATGCGATTGGTCCGAATCATCTCTTCGGTCAGAGGTGACGAGAGGATGGCTAGGTGTTTGCGTGGTGATAGGGAGTGGTTGCATTGTCGAAACTGTCTCTGGACAAGAACTTGGGGCCGCGGACGTTGGACAATTAGCCACATTGTCGATGGGTAAGGCGATTGGACTTCCCACTGGAGAGTGAGACAGCGGCAGTGAGTAAAGACTAGGCTCTGGCACGGGTAATCCCCATCGGGTGAGTTGGGCGGCAATTACTGGGCTAGACGGATCGCCTGACCAAGCAGCTTGGCTAGATTCAGCCCCGAGTCCATGGCACTCCGAAGGAATACTTAATGCATCTGATTCGCAGCCGGAGGGGGAGAACTTCATGTCTACTGCACTATCATCATGACTGCGTTTTTGCTGAGGACCGCTAGGCGATTCGAAGAGTGGTTTGTTAGGGGCGCTACTGGAAAGTCTGTCTAACGTCGGGAGGACGGTGAGACCTAATCGACGACTGCGCAATTTCTCACCCAGAAGAAGGTAGGTTGCCATCAGATGATCGTAAGCCTTGCGAGTTAGTGACTGCAGACAAGAGAAGGTTGACAAACGCATGAAATGCACGGTATCTGTATAAATCCACAAAAACAAGATAAAGTCACACGGAATATAACCGACTCGTTGCGTCAGAGACAATTAAACAGAGATGGGTTAGAAATCGCAGGAACCGGTTTCACCTATGTACTCAAACTGTCAAATGTACATCTTAAGTAATTCAAATGAGACTAGTGGGGGAGGGGACGCAGCAACAAGTGGAGGTATCTAACGGTAATGAAACAAGGTTTGTAAGCTGCAAAACAGCAAAGAGTATGGAATTTATCCGACAGACCGTCTTAAGTTAAGTAAGCTAAAAGCAGAGATGATGGAATGACAGGTGTAGATACCTAGCGCTTTGAAGGTTATTACAACCATACCTTATCCTAAATACAGGCACAAACTTCGATCGTCGAGATAATCCACCCAAATAGACGCGATTAAAGCCGATGAGGCCAAACAAAACCAAAAGGTTATGGTAGAGTTATCTGACTGGAATGGTCCGGTGTGGCTTGAGAAACAGTCAGACAAAGGAAGAGAAGAGTAGCATCCACGGGAGTGGAGAAGTTAGCTGAGAGAACCCGACAGAAAAATGGGCGGATGCAATCCGGCTGTCGTCGAAAACACAGCGACAAAACAACTAACTCAGGGACGTTGCTGATGATCTTCTTACTACACCACCTCAATAAATAATCATCTCGCACACAACTGTTGATATGGTTTCTCAAGTGAATTAGTCGTTGAACTTAATGGAACCAGCGTCAAACGTTTTCGTTAGAAAAAGGAAGACAGTTTCCGGCACAGAACAGAAATACAAGCTCCAGTGTGGATGTGATCGACTCGTTGTTTGTCTACCAGACTTCGAACGATGAATCGATTGTCTCGAAAGTTATCGGTATTCGTAGAGCGAGCCGAGATGGAAATCCCAACAAGGTGCACTGGCTGATACGTGTGTAGATAAACTTTACCTCTTGCAACCAATCCAGAAAAGATGGCAGCTCAGATGTTCAAACAGGGCCTGCGACAAGAGCGGGAGTCGATATAGTCGCAAGCGTGAGCAACGGGCAGGCAGTAAACAGTGTGCTACTGAATTCGTCATGCTACAGATGGAGCGACAACAAGGACATGAACCATTTTGGCAAGCAATAAGCTAATAACACGGGTGATATTTGAATGTGCACCCACCTCAAGAATCTGTGCACGATTCATCCCGTATGACTCCATCAAGAGAATCGGTAGCTCGTCTATTTTACCCATCTAAAAAAAGTGGAAAAATGCGGAGAAACCAGGAGTCGAATGGAAGAGGGAAGAGGAGCAGATCATCTTGATTATACACGTCAGATAGAGGTGGAAAAGACCTCAGCTATTATGCCGCAATAGACGGGAAAAGAAGAGAAAAATACCTGTAACGGAGACACGCCAGCTGAGGCACCAGTAACGATTGGGCAACATTCCGGAAAGCTATCAGACGATATTGTGGCGCAAAAAAATATATCGTGCAAAATTTATGATATGCTAAAAATGAGATTGTGGTTGGAAGGGGAGCCTAAGCTGGAGACGGGAGGGGAAAAGAAACTCACAACACAAACGCTACTGAGGTCTGCTCATCTCCATGTCAGCAAATGTACCAGCCAAACGTATTCATCGTCCTTCGGTCCACAGCCAGGGAACCGAGAAGCTTTAACCGAGGGCAACTTCGAACTAAGGTCATTCACTACTCTTGACCAAGTCATCACTTGGCCACCTCTCCTCTTCTTCCATCCACACCTTCGGTGAGCAAACAGCGCACGTCACAGGAGTCGGTGTGGTAGCATGCGCAACACGTGGCCCAGACATCGGAGCCTGATGCATGAAATAACGGTGCTAAGCGGTTCGCTTTTTCTTCCTGCGCCATAAACAAGGCGTCGAACACGCTCATTGTTCACACGGCGTTACCACCAGATATGAGCCAGGCTGTGAAGGCACCGGTGATCGAATGTAACTAGCATCTTTATGTTTGCCGATTTAATGGGACAGGTTTCACAACGTACAGTAGGGTCGTATGTACGGCTGCATTGTACACAGGTGACGAAGGTTAGCAAAAGCGCCTCAAGCTCTTGCTATACGGTTTATGACCTCCTCTTCAATTCTACAGGCGCTGACACAACTGCCGAGGTAATTGAATTTGTGAACGACTAGCTGATCACCACCAAGGGTTAGTGCAGGTGAGGGAACTTGCCAATTTTGGAGGAAGGCTTTGCACTTTGGAGGCGCAAAGTGAAACTCGAAGCGGCTGACAGCCAGCGCCAATCTGTCCAGTGCAGCTTAGCATGTGCAGGTCATTTGAAAGGATAGGCAGTTGTTTAAAATTATGAAAATCAACACCAAAGAGGACAGCAAATGGTGAAAAAAAGCGAACTGAAGATATTAGTAGGAGAACTGCAACAGGCACCTTCTCTAAATTGTCAGACACATAACAGCGCGAAACTTTGCTGGAAAAGCGTGCGGGTAGCGCTGCCAGTCTTTGTGGTGAGGATTTCCTCACCAAATACAGTGTGTAGTCCGCTGAAGTTGTCGGGCGAAGTTAATCCGGTGCAGAATTAAAAAGCTCCAGAAACACCAGACAAAAGCCACCAAAGTGGGAGAAATTATCAAAAACATTCAGCAAAAAAGGGATAACGACCGATGTGGTACACCACGCAGAACATAGAACGCCACAGTGGGATGCAATTAGTCAGACTGCTACAGACAGGTAACAGCCGCGTAAACATTTTTGTTACCGTAGTGAATCGAGCAGCGCAATTTTGAGCGTCTCAGAAGTACTTGCAGTTACCTTGCCCATTCGCTAGTTCCAATTCGGGACGGAAGCAAAAGGCTGTTATTGCTACTTGATCGCAGCAGCTGGAAATGCCAACGCCTGAAGCACCTTACGGTTTGTCCGGACCGTGCCAGAGAGGGTTCATGATGACTTACTGGACCAGTAGTTGAGCAGACGGCGCGCAACGCTGGTGAACTTAATGACCAATGAGCCAACAAAAGAATCAGAATTCCAGTCCCGAAAGTGAGCAGTGGACTGGGATTACGATGGGCCTAGTTTTAGGTAACGGTGTAGGACAGAGTAAGAGATCGATGCTGAAATTGCTTTAGGAGAAGACTGGAGAGTCATTAGCCAAGCGTCATGCAGTAAGAAGGATAACCGTGAAGGCTCAGAGTGTAGAGTCAAATGGTCGAGAGACTACGCGACACAACATGGAATTAGTGATAGGGGGCATCAATTGTTTCTACCAGACGAAAAGCGAATTGGGATTGAAATTGTGGAGGGAAACAAATTCACTATCCAATGTCTTACGCACCTCTAGGTCTGCTGCCAAATCAGATCCATGCTCTGCTAACGAGCATCTACTGTGTGGTGGCCTGGGCAGACTATCCTGGTGATCCAACTGTTGCTTCCCATGAATACAATACGATGAATGGATGTCCGGATACAGACGATTGGAGCCCATCGCTGTAGAAGCGCCTTGAGATACGCACTCACAGCTGTCATCCGGATGAGGAAAAGGCGGATGAAAGAGCAGTGAGGGAGCAGCCTTAGGAAGTGGCTGAGTAAACCAAGGATGTTGAGAAATCTCTCGAGCAGTGGGGCGTTTTGAAGGGGATTTCGCCATCATGGTTCGAAGGAGATGTTCGCAACCTATGAGACCGAGAGCAAAAAGGAGAGCTGATGGGAATAATGAAAAAGAATACAAAAGTGGGGTCAATTGTCCCGTACATAAGCAGTCGATGATATGCCACTGACGAGACAGAGTTCTATGACGAAGCACTATGAAGTAATGAGAATGAGGAATAGCTTAAGGAGGGAAAATTCATAAACCAAATAGGCCGGAAAAAGGAAAATGTTATTCGTACGATTGAGCAGGGAGGGCTCACGCGATGGATAAATTGACGTGTGTTGGATCTTGGAAGTGAGGTGATGACATGGATGGATATATAGATCGCACACCCTGGACTGTTTACTTCGTTTCGATACGGATAGTCAAGTATAGTCCAAGCATCCGAGTGTGAGGGACCCCTTTGTCACGGCTGCCGTCGCCATGCTACCAATACTGATTACAATGTGCAACAAGATTTATTTAATATAACAGAAATGCCAATGTCCCTGCCTTATAGAATACAGTACTGACCGTACAAGTGCATTCCGATGTTATCTAGCACATCAGGTTGCATTATCATAAGCAAATGAGTATTTTTCCTAATCTCAAGGCTAGGTCGTACGAATTATATGCAAAGGTACTGCATCACAACGTATGAAGAATGCACCTATGTGGCAAACACGTGCAAAACATCACTGCAACGCTAGACGCTAACTACTGATTGCAGCTTGGTACTAAGAAATGATACAGCAACTGGTGTGTCTTATTTGCTTCCGAGTCTCTTCATCAAACCCATTGGATTGTAGGGCGCTTTCAAATGCTGCTAAAATGTTGCATCTCTGTAATTGTAGTTTAATCCCTTGATGAGGACTTGCTGTTCAGCATCGTTGATTGGAAAGGTTTCTAATCCAGCCGTCACTGATATTTTTGTCTTTAGGAGACGTCAATTTTGATAACTTATCGAGCAGCGCATTACACTTCGTTGACCTGGCGTTTGCCAACCGACATTCTATTGCAGCGGCTAGTTGTTCTGTTAATTGTTATCCAATGAGTTGAAGGCAGGTGGACCGATGTTCGCTCATATATCTCTCATATTTTCTGAGACGATTATGAGCGTCGGTGATCATCAAGCGTATCATATGCCTCCGGAATTGTCGAGCAGCAGTGCACGCTTGAGGATGATCGCTCGGCGGTCTGTACCTGATACTGCGAAGAGGAATGTCTTTCCTCAGGCATTCATGAAGAAAGAAGAGTTTCTGTCTTGTAGAGGTTTGCGTACAAGTCTTCTCAACGCCAGCAGATCGGGGAGTTGAACGCCGGTAGTTGTTTAAAATGTTTCGGAATACTGGCAGCTCGGGTTGATGATTCAATTGTTCTTCGAGCAAATAAGACAGATAATTGCTCCTGCTATAATGCACAACAAGCAATACAACACCTTAAGCAGACAAGAAGTCTGACGAAACAATCATTATCCTACGAGGTGACGAGGAATGACTGTCAGAATGGATGGGAAGGATTACATTGAGAAAGCCACACGCCTCTTGAATGACACAACAACCTACTGGTGCATCGACACCGAGCAAAGTTCGCAGCTGACAAACCAAGTAAACAGAACCTTGAAATAGCTTCATGAATTGAAGCAAATCACGAAAGAAGAGCGCGTCAGAATGAGAGCCGGCGGCATAAACATCGCGCAATTCTAGGGACTCCCAAAGGTGCACAAAGATGGTGCACCTTTGAAGTCTATCGTGTCTCTCCCGGGAACACCCACCTACAAATTGGCGAAAGAAATGTAGAGACGCCTCAAACATTTGATCAGTGGATCGCAATATACCATAACCAATGCCCAGCAGATTCTGCAAAAGACCAATGACCTGCGAATAGATTATGATGACACAACGATATCACTCGATTTGACTACGCTCTTCACGTCTGTTGACATGCAGATAGCAATGGCGGTCATCACAGAACGGCTGAACGACAGTGAACAACAAATCGGAAAAATGACGACCGAAAATGTACGCCAACTATACTCCACGTGTGTTTGTCGACCCACTTCTCATTCAATGGAAAAATTTGGAAGCAATTAAAAGGCACACCAATGGGATCACCTGTGTCAGGGCTCATCGCAGAGATGGTTATGCAGAAATTGGAGGAGGAGGTACTACCACTCATCAATCCGAAACTGTGGGTTTGGTATGTGGACGACACTTTTGTGATAATCACGCGCCACCAAATAACAGTCGTACAACAGCTATTGATTAACGCCGTGGAAGACATCCAATTTACAATGGAACAGGAAAGCCAGCTCTCTTTCTTGGACCTATCAGTAACTAGAACCATGAAAGACGAGCAGTAAACATCGGTCTACAGAAAAGGCCCACACAGAGACCAAATTCTGAACTTTAAGAGCAACCAGCTGAAATGCCACAAAGTAAGCTGTGTGTGGACAGTTTCGCAGAGTGCAAACACACTGCAGTACCACAGCAACAAAGTAAAAGGAAGAAAAGCACCTATTTGAATGTTTCCAACTCAACGGATACCGGCGAAGCTTCATCTGAGGTGTCTGAATCACAACAATGTAAACTGACAGTTAACAACAACAACAACAACAACAGCAGCAGCAGAAGCATCAACAAAAACAAGAACAACAACTACGACAAAAACGACAATAGAGAGACGGGTCGTTCTGCCTTACATGAAGAACATGTTGGAAATGGCAGCCAGGCTATTCGAACAGCGTCATCTCATCGTAGTACACAAAACAAACCGCCACGTTGAGAAAAACTCAAAACCAAAAGAAAAACTGCAGGCGCATGAACAACACAATGTGGTATACAAAGTAGGTTGCGAGATTTCGAAAGAGACTATGTTGGCCAGACGGGAAGCAAACCGGCAACAAGGATACAAGGACATAAAAGAGCTTGTATAAAGCATTATGCATCGTCGCTAGTTTCAGTGCACGTAGATGAAGAATGGCATGGCTTCGACGGGACCAAAATAGAAATCCTGGCACACGGTGAAGCAAGGAAAAAAGGGAAATCCTGGAAGCTTATTTCTCAGCGAAAACTCAATCAACATGCGTTTTGACATCGATTCCATATACAAACCGCTTCGACAGAAAGAAATAAAGATTTTGTCAAGCGGTTTAAGACAGAACAACGCGGGCGCCGAGCTCAGTCGCGAGGAAAGTAGGTAGAGGTCACGGGATTCAAATCGAGACTGCCACTTTCAAAAGCCACCTGCAGATTGATCACAGGTTGATGATCTACCCAATAAGGTTGCACGCCGCATCTCACTGCACTGAGCATGCCACTTCATATGGTGGTGAAACGCTTGCAAGCAAACCGCCAAGCTAAGAGAACAAATGAACAATTGAATCTTAAAGCGCAGCTACCAGTATTTCGAAACATTACATCTCAAGTTCTCAGGGCAAAAGTCAATGTGATTGTTGGAATGCTGCTTCTTTCCCTCTGGTCACTACCACTGACAACTGTTGTACTGGTAGCTTTGCAGCCCGGAGAGACGGCGACTGTCTGACTGCTCAATCACGAACCAGCTAACGGGAATACAAAAAAAACCAAAACTCGGTAGAGAGATAGTATATCTACAGGATAGGTTAACTCTATTTATCGGTAAACGAAATATGATAATTTAGGAGGTCACGGTCACTCGTTCTTCTGGGTCTGATTTTTAGCCAGTGTGAGTGAATTACGCTCTACGGGTTTATTATATTGAAAGAATAGTTCGATTCCTTTGACGCAGGCTGGTATGTACTTGACTTTACAGCAGCTAGCACCTGTGACAAGATGAACCGGCTCCATGAATGTCGCGAATTGCAACTGCCCAAGCGCGGCGGTCGGCGGCAAGCTCCACGCTGATATTAATCCCATGATTCCTCCAGTGACGATCACCATGCACAACATGGAGTCCCGGAAGATCGACATTCGATTGTCCACCACAGCGACGACTCCAACCCTTGCAAGGTGAGGGTGAAACCACAGCCCTAGTGAAGTCAGTGTCTGGTCTGTGGAGGATGTGACCGAACCACAGAAGTGTGCGGCGTTAGATGAGCCTTGTGAGCTTCGGAAGACCGTAACAGCACTAACGGATTTCGTCATTGGTGATACGCTCATGCCACTGCGTTTTAAAGATAAGCGAGAAACATTAATGGTCGAAAACTTTCAGGTTCCGGGTGTCTTCGGATCGCAGGGCCATGTTTCGCAATCGTAGAGTAAAATGAAAAGAATGGTTGCTGAGAGTACTAGGATCTTCGTTCTGACTAATTATCGTCATTCGTCACATTGGGTTTCTCAGCTGTCAGGTTGTTCTAGCGTTGTGAATATGATTCCGGATTCCGAAAGTAGAATGACCATTGGCGAGTCCGATACTTGAACTCAAGAACAAATTAGGTGAGTTGAGAACCACGAGGCGGACTGGGTGGCTAACGATGAGAAGCATTTTGTCTTGCTGATGTTGTTTTCAAGGCGGATCATAAAGGTTGATTGATCGACCCGATTTAGCAGTGACTCTAATGAAATGGGATCTATTGCAAGGATAACGATATCGTCTGCAAATTCTAGGTCTGACAGATGGCAGTCGGGGCAACTTGAAAACCACGATAGCCCTCAAGGGTATGATACATCAGCCAGTCGACTGCGAAGTTGAACAACACTGGAGAAAGTGCGCAGCCCCGTTGGACTCCAGTATTAATGCCGAATTCCTAGTTCTTCTCCATAGACCCAAATACGGGCCTTCGTGCAACGGTAGTATGATCTTACCAAGTTAACGAGTTTAACCGAACGCCATCGGCAAGTAGCATTCTCTAGTGTGCACCGCGGTCAACTCAGGTGATGGCAACTCAAAAATCAAGGAAGCACACAAACGTAGGCTGCTGGAACTTGTAGCGCTGTTCGAGTACTCGACGTACAGTGAAGATTTGGTCAGTGCATCCAATGCCTGAAAGAAAGCCATCTTGGCTATAGAGAGTTCGCAGATTCCTCTCATTGGCAAAGCGGGAAAGCAATTTTGCGTGCGAAGG